GCTGTGTTGAATTATGATCACTGTATATAATGCTGACTTTGGCTTGAACATTTTATTCATTCAATCATCAAACATTTATTTTCTCCTGTAATTTCTGGTAACATGTTATATACAAAGACTATTATTCTATAGTCAATCTTAAGAAAGTTCTCTTAGAATGAATGAGAAATAAGCCAGGGAACCATTACTATTTCCAGTGTCCAGGTGCCATAATTCAAGTCAGGTTCTGTGAGAACAGGTGACACTTCATGTCCAGTATCACTCATGGTTATGTTATTTTTTGATGAGTTACAAATGCAACCATGGTCCTCATTTTATTTTTCTTGGTATCCTTAGCCCAGGGTCTGGTATATAGTAGGTGGTTATTAAATACTTGATAACTGAATGAGTGATGCTTTTTCTTATGAGAGAAAATAAATGTTTTTAGAAGAGTCAGCTTTATTCTATGGTTTCAGGGAATGACTTGTGATGAAAAGTGAAGATTGCTTTTACTTGAAAGAGACTGACAAATTTCTGAGACCCAGGATCACTTTATGCGGCAAATGATTTAAGGGTGAGTGAGCATGCCAAAGCGCTCCACTTGAGCTGAGTGATGGGGAATGAGTTGTGGAGCTGTGGTCTTAGATGGTATTTTGTGAAAAATAGTAGGAGATTTATGGCTATAAAACAACTTTGTAGCTGACCCCTTCTTGTTGCAGGGCTTGCCAAATCTCTCTTTCTGTGGTCTGTCTCATGATCCTGCAGTGCACACATGATGTTCGGAAGTATCCACAGGAATGCCTGTTTGCATTTCATGAACCCGATGGGAAGGGGCTTGCATTTTACACATTTATCTGAATATATTAGTTTCTGTAACTACTGAGCGAAGTCTCTTGCAGTACTTACCGCACTTTCATTGAATCTTTTCCGGAGAGGTTGCCCGGGTTCCATCTGCCTTCCTGCATTATTGCAATTGCAGGGTGCAATATATTAGTGACTATTACCATTTATTAACATGATTTTAAAAGAATATATATTAGCAACTCTCTAATCAAGAGTAGGGGAAGTGTAGGGAAACATTCAGAATGTTTTGAGAAATCTTAATTAGGGAACTTACAAGACAGAATGAGCACTTTAGGCTAGAAAGTGGACGGACACATTTTGCTATTGTCAGCTTTAGAAGAAACAAAAGCAACATCTTATCACAAAAAGCAACAAGAGATGCTGTTAATCCACATGATCGGAGTACAGGAGTGTTGCGTTAGGGAATATTCTCTAATGATGGACCTACATCAATATAGAGCTGCTGCTCACGACTAATCAAGGAGAAACAGGAGGAGTAGTCTTTTGTTCGTTTGTTTCAATTTCATGTTTAATTTTGTGAAATGCCAAAAAATGTGGAAAGTTTTTTAAATGAATATACATAGCTACATCCCGATGTAGTTATAATATTTTGACATGCTTGCTTTAAGCCTTGTCTTTCAATAAAGCAAACAGCAATTATACATACAGTTGAATCCTCTATATCACCCTACTAGTCCTCGCCTTATTACCCTACCCTCTGGTTTTTCATGAATTTAATGTTTGTCTTTTATAATTATTAACTTTTTCTATATGCATATGGGATTAAAGAATAACATATCTATATAAATAATACTATATTTGTCATTTTGAAACTTTCATTTTCCCCTGGCATTACCTTTTTTAGAACTATTCAAATTGAGATATACAAATCTAGATAACTGCTCTTAAATGCTAAATATGCCCTATCATACAACAATGTATTCAATTTTCTGTTTGCAGACATTTGCACTGTTTCTAGGCTGTTCTGTTATAAATAGTGCGGCATAAATAATGGGATTGGTTATGTATTTCATGTTACATACCTGTGTGAAATTGTCCATAGTGTATATTTTAAGCAAAATTGCTGCACTAATTTTCAGTTTTTTAGAATTGCTAAATGACCCTCTACAGTAGTTGAACATTCTCAGGAGGGACTAAGAGAGAAGGAAGTTTTGTTCCTCTTCCTTCTCGCTAGTACTTGCTATTGCGATACTTCAAATTGGTGGATCGGCCGAGTGGAGAGATTGCATCTCACTGTTTGAAGGTGCAGTGCCCTTAGCACTAGTCAACTTGACCACTTTGGGTTTATTGCTGACTCAGGTTTTCTTGTCATTGAGTTGCCTCATGTTTCCTTTGATATTTATAACTGATCTAAGAATATATATTCTGGATATTGATATTTTATTTTATATATTGCAGATTCCTTCTAGCAGTAATTGATTAGGAATAAATATGTATAAGTATAATGTCTGGCCATGGGTACTTAAGAAATCTGGCAAAGATTTGCGAATCTTTGTAACCCTGAAGATGCATATCTATCCATATGTTCCTAGTTTCTAGTTTTTTAATTAAATAAAAGAAAATATATCTTAACATTTTCCATTTATATTCCTATTGTTTTAAACCCATTTTACTATGAATGTATTGCTTCAGTTTTTGAATTAGTTCTTTATTCTTTGGCAGATAATATACAAATTCAAGACATTTTCTCATCCTTTTGTTCAGGTGATAATTGCACTTTTCTGCTTTCTGAATTAGGCTTTCAAGCATAACTTACATAGAACAAGTGTGTATCTCTAAACTGAAAAGATAACATGGGCTTCAATTTGGAAAAAAACATTAAGTCAAAGAGCTGGTAGCTTGAGTCTTGATTCGTAGTGCTTTATTTGTTCACTCAGTTGTGGACGTCCCACCAAAAGACACATTTTGAAAAGTTTTTCTCTTCCTGGATTTTTCCCTCATGCCTTGAATTTATAAATGCAAACTGGGCATAAGAGTAATTAAGTTCTGGTCATCAAACGAGGACGGGAAAAGGGAATTTGAGACATGCCAGTTCTGCTTTGGAAAGAAGCACAAGAACTCCTTTACTCTTGATTATAGAACCCACATGTTTTGCCCAGTCAGAGGTATTTGCTGAAAGATAGAGAATCTTCCTGTAATTTCAGGAAAAACTGTCATCAAATTGTCAGCATCCCAAATTGAGATGAAAAGTACCAAGAAAGATCACAAAACAGCTACCTAAAACTCCTGTTGGAACCTCAGCTGTATTTTGCTTTTGGGTGATGAAGTGAAGACGAAACATCGACAGAGTGGCTGTGGCTTCTATGGAGGAAGCATGGCACATGGGTACAAGACCAGTCCCCATTAGACCACTGTCATTATGTTTCATTCGTCATGCAGCAAATAGAAAATACCTTGAATACCTAACAGAAAGACATGTGAGGACGGCAACGTTTGAATTTTAATCTAATTTCTGATTTTTTCACAGTATTACACATCCTAAAAGTCCAATGTTATAGTATCTAGCAGTTCTTATCTGCTTTTTAAAACATATTTTTAGATTTTTATTCTCCAGAGCCCAGTACTCTTGGATTGAGCTTTTAAACACCATGTATTTCCCTTGGAGTTGGAGTGTAGTACAGACACCTGAAATCTGTTTCTACCCTACCGACAGGGTGTACCTGATTTTGCTCCATTCAAAACTCGTTCTGTAAGCCTCCTCTAAAAGAAGCTTAATCAAACACCTCAAATGTCAGAAATGGAGTTTAAAGGATTTTTCTAGTAGGTAGGTTTAATCTTCCACTTATTTTTATTCCTGTAACATAGGTAAGCTCTTTGGAGAACAGACCGGCTTCTAGCTGGGCAAATATATCACATAGAATGTATTTTCTATTCCAGAAAGAAAAACGTGACATTGATGACCTTTTTCATGGAGCTTGGGAAGATTGCAAGCTTAGGGTTTTTTCTCAACATATATGCTCTTTTGAAGACTGAGAATAAAAAGTATCATTTGATTCATCAGTGTCATTAAGAGTTTCAGTGGTGTTACCTTTTGCTATAAACCATCAAACTCTGAGTGCACCTGACTGGTCACCAGCTCTGTGGGAGCCAAGCCTGTAGTCACAATCCATTCTTCCTCCCTCATCCACCAAGAACGTTGAGTTAGGAAAAAATTACTAGACTGTGACGTATTATATGTAGTTCTATGGGTAAAGGGTTCTTTATGTCAGTAATCACACATCATTATTTTTGCATATTTTGTTAATTATTTTTATGCTTTGAGATAGAAAAGATTTCTTGATAATCATTACATGCTAAATTATAACTGAATTCCCGGTGATATTGTTAAGTCTAGTGGGCATCCTAATTCCATAGTCGGAAACAGTTTATATCCTTATAGTACCTTCTTGTGGCTAAGTTACTTAAGTTTTCTCTGTCTACATGCTGTGTAGTGAAGTGAACTAGCCTTGGGTTGCCCTCCATCTCCTCTGGGGGTAAAGCTGAGCCTGTTCACTGGTTTCTGCACAGGTCTACGCATGTGAGCATTTAATTTGTGAGGGTGTCTGGGAGAGAGGTCTGTGATAGAAATCTGAGTCTACACATTTCCTACTTTCATCCACTATCTTTCATTTCTCTCCATTCAGCATCATAAACAAACCATCCCCTTGTTTCTGCAGAGCACTTCTATCTGGACTCTGATTATTAACCAACCTTGAGCCAGCTCCAAGTTCATGACAACCCCACAGGATGAAATGCTGCCAGGTCCAGCACAATACCTGTAATTGCTTGTGGATCAGAGAGTTGTGATCTGCAGGGTTTCCACTGGACAATTTTCAGAAGCAGATTGCCATGCCTTCCTTCCTAGTGTAGCTTCCTCAGGAAGCTGTGCTGAAACCTCTCTAGCATCACAGCAAAGCTCAAGCTTCCAGATGGATAACTGTCATATGTTCACTGGCTGGAAATTGAGCTCTGGCCTCCTGCATGGGGGTCAGGAACACCAACAATGAAGCACGACTGTCCTCACGCTACCCTGACTAGAATTTTATTTCAATGAAGACTACTCTGGTTTCCTAAGAAGGCTCTCAGTTGTGAATATTTTATCCAAATTCAAATTCCAAAAGCATGTGAGATTATGTCTTTGGTGCTGTTTCATATTGACATTTGGTTGTCTCATGCAGGCTTCCAGTGAGGATGCTGCTGCCTTTCCAGAGCACCACTATACACCCCTGCCTTCTGCTTCTAGGGAGCTCACCAGCCACCAAGGTAGGGATTCCGCTTGTTTGTGCTCTCTGCCACTGCAGCAGGGGGCACTTGGTCCTGCAGAGCTCTGGGCCCTGCCCTCTAGAAGGCAGACAGTGCTTTCCAGTTCTTGATGAGGAAACCAGGCCTGTCACACATCACAATTTTAACTCGTATCAAGCTGAATTTAATCTCATGGTTTAACATAATTTTGTGATTTTTTTTCTTTAAATAGATTATAGTATTTAAAATTTACTGGGTAGATCAGTACATTTAGCAATGTACTGTACATGTACTAATGTACGTGTACATTAGTACATGATGGCAAGGACTTGGAAAACTTCATTAGTATTTGTAATTGTATAATTGATTGGGAAGGTAATAGCTGAAATAAGTTCAAAATGAATGAACCCTAGTTATAGTCCAAAGGAATTTCTGTTTGCCTTGCAGCATTGAAGAGAATCCATGTGCACTTTTTATAGACTATTCTGACCATGAAAACATTAATTTGACTTACCTGATTCTTCTAAAGCCTTGACTCCTTTTTCCATCAAAAATAAGCAGAATGCTGCCATAGAATATCATTGAAAATAAAATGCCTTATATCTAGCCTAAGTCCATGACTATTTTGTTTCCCTTTTTAGAATTGGTAAGGGCAGAAGAGGGCTTATGATTTTATGTCTTGGTCTGGTTTTATATTTATTATGATGAAATCTATGTTTCCTAATTGTGAATCTACCTTTCAGGGTTATGTAAGTAGGTACACACCCTAAACATTGTTTCCCCAAGCAGGAAAATCCCCCAGGCCATACAGGACTCATCACAGCTACATTGCAGGATATAGGAGGAAAGGCGGTGGAGACACTGACAAAGTGGCAGCTGGCTCTCTGAGAAGACTTACGGGTTCTAGGCAAATGGTACATTTACAGTCTGTGGGAAATGTTTAATATAGGAATGCCGGGCCCGGAAACATGCAAAATGGAACTGTGTTGCTTGCTAAATAGTATCACACCTAAATACAGACATTAACAGACCTTTACAATATACTTTGGTTTCATTGTGGTTCAGTATTTCTCCCTTTCATTTAGTGTCAATTTTATGAAAATCAATTTCCTCTCCAATTAGGTGGAATGAGTCCTTGCCGACATATTACATTTTGATGAGCAGGACCAGACCTCCTTCATTGATTCTTCTGCTCTGTGCCTTTAGGGGCCACACGTGGGGACTCTCCTAGACAAACATAACACCATATCTAGGAGCAAAAAATAATTATGGATCATTTTCTTATATGCTTATTATTGGTTCCTCATATTGGAAAAAAATGGGCATTTTGGTCTATAGTCTATTGAGTGTACTGCATAGAACCTGGAGTCTCAGAAAGCACAAACACACGTGAAAAAGTTTATAGAGTGATGAAATGGACATATCCCAGTAGAAGAATATGATCAAATAAATGGATAAATATCAACTGACATTTTGACTGCCAATAATAAGAAGCATAAACTTTAAGAAAATAGAATGAAAGATAATAGTTGTAAAGGTGGCTGAGTAATATTTAGAATACAAAAAAATCCATAGATCCTTAGGAAAAACTGATAAGTTTGATGACATCAGAGACCAGTATTATTGGGGGAATATGTTACAAACTGAGAACCAACAAGAATCTCTTACTGTGGAAGCTTCCTACACAGTAAACATCTCGGTTCTTTGATCAGTGCTCAGGACATGGATGCTGTACAAAAGCTGCATCAGAAAGAAGGGCCAGTTCTTTGGACCCATGGCATGAGGAGACTGGAAACAGAGAGTCAAAAGCAGCTCATTAAAGGCCCATTGTTGATCTGTTCTATCCACCAGAAAGGCGAGACTGGTATATTTTGTCTTGGCATGATCATGTAACCACAAATGGGGAAATTAATTTTTAACCCAGTATAAAACCACCTAATGCCATCTTGATTTGTTGTTTTAAAAAAGTACTAACTAATTTGAGTATCATTTGTTGATACCAACACAAAAATAATTCACAAACATTTATATATAGAGAGAACCTTTCTTTCACAATGTAAAGGCATGTTACATCAGTTCTTTCCCAATAAAATTCCCTATGATATTTGAAACTTTGTAAAATCTTAACTGGAAGATATATTTGCAAATAATTTTTGATTCATCTAGTTCCCAATTTCTTTTCATTCCGCACCAACAACTACAAAAACTGGTGGGCAGTCATTTGTGTGCAAATTGTTGTTTTTCTATACATGTTATTTTCCTTTTGCATGCCCTTTTATGTAACTTCCAATGTCGAGTATGATAGGTCCAAGATTCATGTCCTACAAATTGTAGATTCAAATGCAAAGCAAGCCTTGGTCTAGAATAATGATCAGGAGACAGGGAACTCAGTTTTTCCATCTGTCATTTGTGGATAATACCTATATCATGCACTTCCCATACAAAATTTTCCTGGTCTTAACGGTGTTGATTTGCCCCCTGCATATGGTACTTGGAGTATTTGCTCCTACCACCTGAGTGCAATTTTTCATACTCTGCTTAGAGTAACTAAGGTCATGTTTATATAGATCTCAAACTCTTCATAGGCGAAAGCTCTCTGAGGGGAACTACTGGGCTTGACCTCTCTCCTCTTTGACACCACTGGTTTGTTCTTCTGGTAACCAATTAAATATTTCACTCCCCAAAGGAATTCACTTATCCTACCTTCCACACTTATTCTAGGTATCTTTGCTATACAAAAGACCACAAGATGAGTGATTTTAAAGACAGACATTTATTTTCTCAAAGGCCCAGATGATAGACATCCAAATCAATGTAGTGGTCATATCAATTCCTGCACTCATTCTGAGGATTTTTAAAAAAAATCATTTTATTGGGGGATCACACAACTCTTATCACAATCCATTCATACAACAATTGTGGAAAGCACATTTGTACATTCATTGCCCTCATCCTTCTCAAAACATTTGCTCTCCACTTAAGCCCCTGGCATCAGCTCCTCATTTTTCCCCTCCCTCCCTGCTACTCGCTCCCTCATGAACCCTTGATCATTTATAAATTATTATTTTGCCGTATCTTGCACTGTCTGACGTCTCCCTTCACCCACTTTTCTGGTGTCTGTCCCCCAGGGAGGAGGTTATATGTAGATCCCAGTAATCAGTTCCCCCTTTCCAACCCACTCTCCTGGTATCGCCACTCATACCACTAGTCCTAAAAGGCTCATCTGTCCTGGATTCCCTGTGTTTCCAGTTCCTATCTGTACCAGTGTACATCCTCCCCAAGACCCTTCTGTAAGGAGATGTCCAGTGGCCTACAAATGGGCTTTGGGTTTCCACTACTCACTGCCCACCTCATTCACAATGATATGATTTTTGCCTGATACCTGATCCCTTCGACACCTTGTGGTCACACAGGCTGGTGTGCTTCTTCCATGTGGGTTTTGTTGCTTCTGAGCTAGATGGCCACTTGTTTACCTTCAAGCCTTTAAGACCCCAGATGCTATATCTTTTGATAGCCAGGCTCCATCAGTTTTCTTCGCCACATTTCATTTGCTTCTCTCCTAGCTTCTAGTCACTGCTGCAAATCCTTGGCATTAATTATATCCTTGAAGTTATAGCTCCCTTCGCACAGTTTCTCCCATGTGTGCAACTTTCTGAGATACCACTCGGAAAGAATCAGGACCCACCTCACTCTTGTTTGACCTCATTAATTTAACTGACACCATAAGAAAAACACTATTTCTGACAAGGTCACATTCACATATTTAGGGAGTAGGACGTCAATGCATCCTTTTGGGAGGCACAATTCATCCCATAGTAATAGATCCACTTATGTTCAGGAACTCTTCTTTCTAAATAGGCAGTAAGCTCTTGGTAAGAAGGGGAGCGAAGAGAATTGTATCTGTTTGCATAAGCAGTACCTGGCATGGAGCCTCCTACTTAATTGGAGCTTAATAAATATTTTTTCAACAAATGACAAATGATTGAAACCCAAGGGGAAAGTCAGTTCTTAGTCCCCTCTGCTAGGTAACTTGATTGTGTCTAAGATTCCATCTTTCTTTGAGAGAGGGCGCATGTTGAGGGAAAAGACTGATCTCTTGGACCTCAGCCCTGGCTCTGTTGTTCCAGGAACTCAGATAGTTATGAATGGTGGTCACATCTATTCATTCATTGGCAGCAGTCTGAAAAATGCATTGCATGACTGTCAAGTTAATTATTTTAATATTTTAGCTTTGACACTTTGCAGTTGTGATGGCAGAGAAAATTATAGAATGGGCTGAACCATTCTATAATGGCTTATTAGAACAGAACCTCTCAATGGAAGATCTGGCCTCTCGTTAAGATTTATGAAGGGGCTTCAGACAGTTCCTGGAAAAATGGAATTACAAGACAATGGAATTTTTCCACTGACTTTTCAAAGTCTCCTCATCGATCATGGTGTATACATGGTTTGAGAGTGGTCCCTTGAAATTCCTCTAAGAATATTAGGTTTGGGCTAAGCTTGTCTTTGGCATGCAGAGGACATGGGCTACGTCAGTGATCTCAGGCTGTTACCTAGTGCCAATTTGCCTAAGGGGTCATTCATGGGTCTGCAGGCTCTACGGACGATTAGTGTTTGGTGGACAAACATCTATTTAAATAGTTAGATGTACCAGACACTCCCCCATGTGCCAATTATTACAACCTTGACATGGTAGTTATACAACTAGAATTTGCTTTTGTATAGAACCGTGTGTCTTTGGGGACATATAGTTCTATTTATTTAGAGGATAGACATAATATCTATTTATTTAGAGGATAGACATAGTATCTTTCCAAGAACCTCCTGAGGTGCAATGGAAAATCTTTTTATTCCCATTCAATATGACGAAGACACCAAGAACCACGGCTGGCCTAGCCCTTCAATGATAAAGGCAAGAAAACGCATCAACGCTCTTATCATTTGTCCTTCAGTCAGGATAGAGGAAGCAAAGGTAGGAGTGACTAACTGTGTCTTGTCCTGGAGAAAAAAGGATAGAATGC